ACAACGTTGTGTTAAGTTCCTGGTTCCTAAAAGTTGCCATTCACCCTTCACAGGAATATACCTAGCTTCTAAGAAATTCTTTTTTTTCAGGATTTTTTTATTCTAAAGAATAACACATTTAAAAACCAAACACTTTCATAGTTGACTTCTCCATTCTACGTAATGCAAATTAACCCATTGTTTTAGGCCGCTTCACAAGTAGTCAGAGAGTCAGTACTTTAGAGTCAGGTTGGCCCCACACAGCCACTTTATTACATGTACCTTCTGTGCCTCTGTCTTCCTGTCTGTGAGGTGGTAATGATGGGGTCCTTGTGGGGATTACACAGATGGCGGGGGTGAACACCGAACACAGTGCCCAACACGTAACACGCACTTGGCGAGCAGAGGCGGCTGCTCTTGTTAATTGTTAATGCCCAGGCACCTGAGACCTAGAACGGCCTGTGCCTTTTTTTCCAGGAACCTTTCTGCCTGAACCAGGACTTGAATTAAAAAGAGAAAGATGGTGGTTGGTGCTTGTGGAGCCCTCTGTGGAGCAGGCTCATCCACATGGGAGATGCCACCCAAATAGCCGTGCGCTTTACCCTGAAGAGTAAGGGTAGGGAATCCGTTGTAGAGCTGGTTCGATGGGAGGCTTGGCAGCGAAGGTGAGTGCATGCAACCTCCTTGCAGGATCAGGGAGAACACGGGCATCCCTGTGCTGATGGGGCTCGAGGAGGTGGCTCTCCTCTATAATATCCACAGAGGAGCCCCGGCAAGGAGAACTGTGTTGTGGATGGAAAGGAGCCAGGGGACGTCTGTGTGGACGGGCAACATTTCTCCCTGAAGCCACCAATGAATGCATTTCGCCCTCCTGGGGACATAACTGAGTTATTTGGTTTTGGCTTCATAAACTCTTTTATTTATGAAGACTTAGTCTAAACTTAGTCCTCTTGCTTTTTAAGAAGAAGAAAATTAACTATTGCTGCAGGATGGAACTTTTTTCCAAAACCTTACTCAGAATCACTGGCAGAGCCGCTGTCCACTTGCTCACTTGTGTTAAACCTAAGACGTGGCCCCAGGGGAGTGAAGGTTATTCTGATCTCTCTGGGCGCCTATCTTATTTGTGACCTGCAGAACTCAGTTTTGAGGCAGGTGCATAAAGTTCAGATGGTCTTGCAGCCTGAAATAAGTGCAGCCTTCCTCTTATTCGTACTTGAGGTCTTGTATGTTTTCTCTTGTCTGGGAGGTGCTGGCTAGTCATCATTACACTGGTATCGAGGGCTTCCCTGGCTGTCCAGCTGTGCCCCGGAAGACCCTGAGAGCCTGAGGGTGCGCGCTGTGGTGGGCACTGCTGCAGGGTTTGCGTTCTTGGCCATAGTTGCTTGGACTTTGGGAAACCACTGTGGAGGGAGGAATTGTGTTTTACTTTCCAGCAGCACCCACCGATTGCTGACAGTGTTCCTCACCGGCTAGTTTGGCAGCAGACATGATGTGCAGGGTGGTCAGCGCTTCCTGCCATGTCTGTCATTCGCTTACATGCCAGGAGCTTACATGCCAGGAGCTCAATGGGGCGTATTTTCTACCTCGTCTTGTTATCTCCACTGCTTACCTTGTTTTTGGAACATAACCCAGCTCTCAAGATGTTTCTTAGATGGACTGTTCCTGAAACCTGTCCATTTAGAACATAGCAGTAAGAATTAATTCAGCAAATAGATTTTTGAATCCTTAATCCATACCAGGCATTTGGCCAGGCAGTAGTGTCCAGAAGCTGTTAGTGCTGTGCCTGCCTGAAGTGTAGAAACCAGTGCAGAGGGACATGGGGAGAGCTGTAAATATAGTTGTGTTAGGTGGGGTGTAGCCAAAAGGAACCTAGGAGGAAGGACGCCCTGCAGCTTCCTGGGAGAGTTAGGAAGGCTTCTCAGAGGAGGTGGCCTTGGAAGTGTGCTGTGTGTGTCCTGGTGGCACCTGCTACCAGATCCCTGGGGCATTGAAGGCCAAGCTAGGGGAGTACCTCGGGCATGGCACAGTGATCCTGGGTGTTGAGAGAACTGAGAGCCACAGTGTGAGGCTGGTGAGGCTGGCAGGGATGGATCGGGAGGGCCCTGGGCCAGCTCAGGGAATTTAGGCTTATTCTGTCTTTAGAAAACGTGTGATTTGGAGGGAGGCCATCAGCAGCTGGCCTCTTGGATGGCTTCCAAAGTTCAGCCAGCAGCCTATCTTAGAAGCACGCACTTTGAGCCCCCACCCCCTCGGCACCATTGGAAGGCAGGTGCTCTGGAGGTTGACTACTGGTTTTATGGCTCTGGTGGCACCAGGGGGAAGGGTTTGAGGACAGGCGGCCTTGGCCCTTACAGATTTTGGTTTTAGAGTGTGTTGCAAGGGGAAGTACTTCTTTCCTTTTAGGTTTTTTTCCCCGAAGGCTAACACCCTGTTCTGAGGTTTAAGGAACTTAAACTGGACTTGGAACCAGCGGACGCCTCAAAGGTGGCCCCGCGTCTCCCTTAGAAGAGGCCCTCGGACTGCTCTCCGCCGCCACCAAGGCAGAGGAGAGGCCACTGCCAGGTGGCTCTGGACTCTGCTTGTTTCCTTCTTCCTTGGGCTTTCATCTTGCTGATTCAGAGGTGAAGGGGTCTTTGGGTTCACTTAACACGTCTGTGAGGTATTCCTGATGTTCTGGTGTCAACATTTCAGTTCATACTCACTTTTTTGCAAGTACTGGAGCTTTTAATGTGGCTAAAGTAGAGGAAATCCACGTTTATTGGACACCTACTGTGTGTCAGATGCAGGGTGTGGTGTGCTGGCACCTTCACCAAACCTCATTTCATTTTTCCTCGGGTCCACCTGGGATTTCTGTGGTATGGCCCCATTTTATTGCTGGGGAGGAGGGACATTGGGGCTCAGAAGGTTGAGCATCTTCCCTGAGGTTGCTGCAGCTGCTAAGTGGCAGAGCCAGGGGTTCAGCCAGCCTGTCAGTCTCCGCTCTAGGATTTCCTCTTGGGGTTTGTCTTTTTGCCAGTTTAACTGGAGGAATATTGATGGTGTTTTGATAATTCTAATTACCTTTGACATTGCCAAAGATTAGCTCTTAACGATGTACTAAAAAGGTTCCTGACCATATTTTCTTTTTAATTAAAAAAACAAAACTAAAAGTATTTTAAGGTTTGTGTGCTCTCCATGTGTCTTCCTGTGAATCCTGTTCTCTCACAGCCTGGGCTCAGTTCAGGCATTTTCCCAGAGCAGAGTCCCAGAGATGGTTTGCTGTGGCCTTGCCTGGGAGTGGCTCACGGCCAGGGACTCTGGAGGAGGCTCCAGCCCCGGAAATCAGGGCAGGTGAACCTCAAAACGTTTAAAATGTGTTCACGTGTGGTGAGGTGCTGAGTTTTTGCTCTGTAGGTTAGAGAACACTTTATTTTATGTGACATCTTTACAATTTCATTTTTGTATTAAACTCTAATTTTGTCTTTTTTTTTTTTTTTTTTTTTTTTTTGGTGTTAGCCCAGTGTGGTTTTACTTCCCAAGAGAAATTGATAACCAATTAGTATAACATCATGGTTAGATACTCCTTCCTTCCTCACTGTGTCATGGTTCAGGTTTTTATATATAGTTTAAGTCTATTTCTGAATTCCGCATTTCAATTTATTCCTTTATATTTCTATTTTTTGCTCTAGTGCTGCACTGACTGGTTCCTTCAATTTCTGGGAGGGAAGGAGATGAACCCGTCCTCCCTTTTCTGCTGTTAATGAATCTGCTTTTGCTGTGTTGACATTGAGAGGAGAGGGCCAGGCTTCTTGCAGGGGCGCAGGAAGGCTCTTTGCAAAAGCTAAAATAATACCCAAAAGGGAGTGAGTGGTTATCATTGTTATTTCCACACTTCAGAACCTTCACCTACTTGCTGTTTGATTATAGCAGCTGCCAGCAGAGTGCCTCCTGGGGGTCAGGGGCTATTGAATGCTTTTGCATTGGTACTTTATTTCATTCTCCCAGGGCAGTATGGTAGGGCTGGGATTAGAACCCAGGAATATCTGAGTCCAAAGTCCCATTCTCTTTGTTGTTCTGCTCCATAGATCAGATTTAAATGCACTGCCAGATCTCTTTAGTTTTCACATTTTAAAGGACAATAGAAGGTGACATAACATATGCTTGGTCCTCTGGGGACTATGCTGTCCAGGCTGATGCACCGCCCCCCCATCTTAAGGCAGAGATTTGTAGGGCCCTGGGCGTGTGTGTGTCACTGCCGGCTTTGACTCTTCCCACTCAAATCTTTATTGTAGGTTTACAGTCTTTATTTTTCCTTTATTGCTTATCTGTCTTTGCTTAGCCAGACTTCTGACCTGGTTTTTATAACTCCAAACTAAGCCATTTATGCACTAGGTATGGTCTCCTTGGGAGTCAGTCCTATAGGTCCCAGCCCTGCTGCTAAGTAACAGTGTGATCTGGGACCTGTTTCTTAACCTCTCTGAGCCTCACTTTCTTCTCTGGTAAAGGGGATACTATGCCCTACCTTGTAGGCCTGAGTGAGTGACTAAAACATTTGTGGAGGGCCACTGCTAACCTGGGTGTGGTTGGGGTAATCTCGATACATGTGGCATACACAATTTATCTTGTTTTCTGTCTTGAAAGCAAACTGATTTTTATGTTAGCTCAGAACAAGTAGAACCTTGACTTATGTATGGGTTATGAATCCACATATTTTCAACAGAGGTAGCCTGTTTAAAATAATAAAATAAAAACACAGGAAACAAAAACCCTCTTCTCTGCCTGGCGAAGTCCTCATGCTGTTGCCAGCACTCTCCTGGGGGTCGGAGACGTGACTGGTGGGTGGCAATGAGGATGGCGAGGATGATTATTTTATATATTTTTACACTCTGTGTACCCTCTGAGTTATCTTCCTGTTCTTTTATATCATGACAATTTAGGTTAAAACTCTAGCTTCTGCTTCTGGATTCAAACTTGGGTACATAGGACTCTTTTCAAGGATTGTTTCTTTACAAAAGAGGTGTCAGAACATTCAAGCTGTGCATCAGAGGGGTGGCGCCTTTGGCTTTTCCATCCACTGCCTTAATTCCCATGTTGATGTTTTTTCTAGTTTCTCCTTGGAACAAGATGACTGATGGAAACCTTTCCAGCTCTACAAATGGCGTAGCCTTGATGGGGATTCTGGACGGTCGGCCAGGAAACCACATTCAGAACCTGCAACACTTGAATCTCAAGGCGCCCAGATCCCTCTCGTTGCCTGAGTATGGGCCCAAGCTGAAACTGGGGGCCTTAGATCAGCACAGCCTGCAGTCCGTGGACTCGGGCATTCCTACCCTAGAGATCGGCAACCCGGAGCCCGTGCCCTGCAGTGTGGTCCATGTGAAAAGGAAGCAGTCCGAGTCGGAGATAGTCCCTGAGCGGGCCTGCCAGAGTGCATGCCCGCTGCCCTCCTATGCACCCCCAGCTCCCACCAGTGCGGAGCGGGAGCAGAGCGTGCGGAAGTCCTCCACATTTCCTAGGACAGGCTATGACTCGGTGAAGCTCTACAGCCCCACCTCCAAAGCCCTGAACCGCAGTGACGATGTCTCCATCTGCAGCGTGTCCAGTCTTGGCACAGAGCTGTCTACCACACTGTCAGTCAGTAATGAGGACATCTTGGACCTCATGGTCACAAGCAGCTCCAGTGCCATCGTGACCCTGGAGAATGATGATGACCCGCAGTTTACTGATGTCACCTTGAGCTCCATCAAGGAAACTCATGACCCACACCAGCAGGATTGTGCTGATGAAATCGCAGAGGGAAGTAAATTAAAAAAACTGGGACCATTTAGTAACTTCTTTACAAGGTAATGCCACCTTTGTTTTTCCAGAGGATCTGGGTTATTGCAGTCAGGACAGCTGAGTTCTTGCCTAAATGTGTTGTGTGTTCCCTGCTCTGTTGAGCAGGCCCCGTGTCCTACAGGTAATCATGCCTTTTCCCAGTGGCCCTGAGTCCTGGGGAGTGTGTAGGACTGGTCTGTTGGTGATGCTGCTTTTTGATTCCTCACTGCTAGCTGTCACTTCTGTGTCCCTGGCTTTCTTGCACAGTCTGTTGTCACTTCCCGCTTCTGACCTGTGGTGGCTGAGGGTGACCCACAAGTGGTCCGTGTTACCAAATCAGCAGCCTTACCTTGTCAGCCTGATTCTCTGAAGGCCCCTTTATGCTAATACCTCAAGTCTCTTGGGCCAACTGGAGGGTGCTGATGAGGCTGACGTCAGAGTTAGTCACCCACCTTCCTAACTCCAGCCCCCATTTGCTTAACCCAGGGCTGGCGTTTCTGGGTGTCTGTCCCTGCTGAGGAGTGTGCTGTTACTGTGTTTACTAGGCCATGCACCCTGCTCCCCATGGTGCCATCACCCAGGTGCCAGACCAGGGCTGCTGGGGTCCCTGTGTCTCACCACAATCTCCGTGGGGACATCTACAGCATCAATGTCTTATCTATGCTTTTTTGTTTTCGTACAACATGTGTTTATGCCCTGGGCTCTGTTTAGGCCCTGGGAGTAATATGGCTATAGAAATGGTCATAGGTAATGACTGTGGGTGGGCTTACAGGCTGGGGGGAAGGGGAAGTAAAAACAACAGCCCGTCCCACAAGCAAATGTGAACTCCCAAACTGTGGAGTGCCATGAGGAGGGCACGAGGAAGGAGAATGCCCTTCTGCTTCACAGCTGCTCTCAGAGGGCCCTGGCCCAGGGCTCGGCAGGTGGGAACATTGCTGCAGTCAACCCTGGCTGCCCATGTGTGTGCCCTAGCAAAACCCATGCTGGACACTGCAGTACAGGGTGTCCCTTTGAGATAGTGTGGCATGCTAGCCAGAGTTAGTGGAGGCGTCTGTGACTATGGGCGCGCACGCTAACTTCCACTGCCTCAGTTGCTTCATCAACTGAATGTGGGGATTGTCTCAGGTGAGTCCAAGACCTGTCCTGAGTGAGCCCTCTGATGAGGGCTGTGTTTTGTGGGGCACCTTTTCTCTCTGATGTGCCGACAGACAGGTGCGGAGCTCCCATGAGTAGCGTTCCTGGTCTCAGAATGCGGTCACTCAATGATTGCCCTCACTGGGAGGAACCCAGGAACTTTGGGGGAGACTGTTTGTCACCCTCCCTGCTAGGGCCATAGCCCTAAAATTGTGTTGTGGCGGTTCATGTCTGTGTGGCTGAACCAACCCCTTTACTAGGTCAGTGTTTTCAGTGTTTCCTGTTTATGATACCACGTGGGTGCCTGTTCAGTGTGGCCCCTCAGGATCCATCCCAGACCTCCAGAGTCAGAGTCTCAGCGAAAGGCCCGGGGGACAGGTTTTCAGAATCACTTGGGGTTGTTGGCAAATTTGGGAAACCTTTCTGAGCGTTGGTAAGTGCCCTGCCTGGCACGTGGCGCTGCATGTTCACATGCGATGTGCTCTTTCCTTCATGTCCTTGTCTCCTTGTGCTTTCTGCCCCACTTCCTAGCCTGCAGAGGGGGTGAGCAGGCTTCCCTCTTGTAGCCCTAGGGAGGGGTGGTGTGCTCGTGTGAAACTGAGTGCAGACCCTGGCAGAGCCAGCCCTGAGGTTTCAGCTGCTGGTGATTCTCATGGCTGCTCCTGGCTTCCTCGGCTGCCTTTCTTTCTGTTTCGGAGCCTCTTCTCCCATGAGAGGAGACACCGCCAGTTACTGCTGACCATTTCTAAAGCTGCTGGTTCTTGAAAGTCTGTTTCAGCTTTGTGCCTCAGAAATTAGATGTCTCCTCTTTGTTTTATTCCTCGGCTCTTATCTCCTAACCCTTGTTTCGATGGCTTTGGCATTATTGTGAGCCATCAGTAGGGACCTTTGGGAAGCCAGTGGAATATTAATGACAAATGAATCAGATGTGATATCATGGGCCAAGTCTAGTGAGTTCTGTCCTAGAATCTTCAAGTGTTAGAGAAGAGTTTCCATCTAGAATTCCTTTGAAGAGGAAAGGGCTCTGTGCCAAAAATGTTTGGCACCTACTAACATTTTACAGGTGAGTAAATTTACAGGGGAGTTACAGAGAGGGCGTGGCACATGGTAAGTACGCAGGACTGCAGACTGTATGAGTTTCTGTCCAGGGCAGGTTCCTTGGGGTTCCCAGCCCAGGCTCCCGAGTCATCCTGTCTCTTTGCTTTATCTCCTGAGCCCAAGCCACTCTCTTTACCCTATTGCCTCTCTGTTCTCCTTGTCCTCGCTGAGCCGAGCTCTGGGTTGTTGTAGAAGGAAGCGTAGGCAGTATGGTGGAAGCTAGTCTAGGACAAAGGGGCTCGTAGGGAGGAAGGAGGGTGGGGATGGTCAGGGAACTTGTGACCTGAGGGAGCAGACATGTTGGTGACTCTGATTGCTTGATGAGGGTGGCCTGGAGGAAGGGGAGTAGCAGGAAGGCTGGCTTGGGCCTGACCACTGCCAAGTGGAAGCTGCAGGTCCAGCTCTCATTTTTTCTTTAGTGGAAGGGAGGGGGGAGGGGGAGAGAAAGAGGAGAGAGAGAGAAGGAGTGATGTGACAGAGACATATCAATTGGTTGCCTCCTGCACATGCCCTGACTGGGGACAGGGATCAGACCTGCAACCCAGGTATGAATCCTTGACCCTCCAGTGTGTAGGCCAACACGCTAACCACTGAGTCACACTGGCTAGGGCTCTTTAGTCCTTTCTTCATCCAAGCTGTGATAAGCATCTCTGTGGCAGACTCCACACTGAGCTTAAGATAGTCCCTACTCTCATGGAGCTTACTGCTGGTGGGGAAGATAGACCAGGCACTGCGGGCCGGGGGGAGGTACAGAAGTTTGGAGTGCTGGTTCAGGAGTCAGGCTGGCTGGGTTCAGTGCGAGCTCTTCTACTTAATAGCTGTGTGGTCTTGGGCAAGTTACTTCACCTCTCTGAGCCTTTGATGAGGCATAAAACTACTGTGCAAGGTTAGAGATCAAATAGGTAAAGCATCTAGCACACTTCTTGACAACACCTAAGTAATAGCTACCTAAGATTCTAATATAATTACCGTTTCTAAGAAGTACATTTGCTAAAGCTTTTTCTGGTTCTTACCCTGACAGTGTGCGTACTTCAGTCAGTCCTTTATTGAAAAAGTTGGATCAGGATTTCCCCATTTTGGGACTATTGACATTTTGGGATGGATGAATTTTTGTGAGGGAGGTTTTCCTGTGCCCTGAAGGCTATTTAGCAGCATCCCTGGCCTCTACCCACTAGGTGCCAGCAGCATCCCCAGTTCTGGCAATGAAAAATGTCCTTAGACATTGCTAAATGTCCCAGGAGGGTGGGGTAGGCAAAATCAGCGAACCTTTGAGAACCGTGCAGCTGGCAGGCTGTATAATGTTGGTATTTCATTGCTTCCTTGAAGGAAATTTACTACTGTAATATAATTTGAGCAGGACCCTCATCTTGTACAGAGGACTGTGTCAAGGGATCCCATGAGCCTAGTATAGTTTAACAGTATTTACCCGGACCCTGGACAGCAGCTATGAGAGGAATTCAGTGTCACGTTTGTACTCCACAGGAGACAGGGTTGTTTCTGAGAAGCCCAGGGTTCAGGGCTGCTAATCTGCACTGGTCTGACGGAGGGTAGTGATTAGCTCTAACCATTTACATCTTTCTTTGTATAACCCTTTATTAAGCTCTCAGAAGAGATGTGCCAAGCATCCTTTGCTGAAGAGAGATGCTAGGACTGCATTAGAAGGATGCAAAGAAAGAGCTTGCCGAGTGAAGATGAGGCAGAGGGAACAACTTGTGGAAGGCGGGGGGCAGGGGTGCACCTGGCAATGTTTAAAGAGCTATAATGGTACAGTTTTCCAGTCTGCTTCCTGGCCTGGCTGGGAGCCCCTGGGGGCACTGTCTGCGTCAGGTTCATCCTGGGATCGAGTTGTAATTCAGAGACAAGGCCTGTGGTGGTTGAGAGCCGGGACTGCTGAGACCCAGGTTTGAACCCAAATTCTGCTATTTCTGATCTCTGTGACCTCAAGAAACTCACTTAACCTCTGTGATCCCTAGGGGTACAGGGTTACATGGGTTAAGTGTACCTCCTGTAAAGAGTTGGTGTGATTGTTAAACAAGATAATACATGTAATACAGGCAGAGCACAAACCTGGAATGCAGGTTGGCTTTCTGGCCCTGCTTTCTGCCTTTGTTGGTTGGGGTTTCACACAAGATTTTACTTTTTTTTTAAAAAGTTCCTGCTATATGAAAAAGTTTGCAACCACTGGCTTAAGAAAAATAAATCTTTAAATGGGCACATGGTCTTGCTGTGAACGTGCTCAACCAACATTTCAGTTCCTGTACTGATCTGGCTTTGGGGATGGGATTATTTGGAAGGTGACACGAGCAGTGCTAAGGGAGAAATGTGCTCTGCTTTCTTTTGAGGGAGGTGAGTTAGCTTACGAACAAGGTGGATGCCCTTCAGAGACGTGCGGTAGCTAGACCCTCAGCACAGGGAGTAGCAGGCAACATGGTGCTCGCCAGGTGCCATTCTCAGACTTTCATGTGGTTGCCTTGTTTCACTGTCAACAGCCATGTGAGAGAGAGTGGTGTGGCAGGTTCTGTGGGCTGGCTTGTTCCTGCTCCACCGCTTTCCTCTAGGGCACCTCCTGTACTGTGCAAACCAGAGGCTTAAACGTGCATTTCCCAAAGTCTCTTGCAGCTGGGGTTCTAGGTGTGAATTGGGTGCTATCAAATTCTCCCATGTGTGAGAGATTTGAGGCAGAAGTTTGGTGGAGACCACTTTTCTTCCCCTTTTGGCTGTTTTCTGCTATCCAGTGATGTTTTGGAGATGTGAGGTGCTCCTGAGGCAGCATCCCGCGTTCATTTCCTGGATG